ATATATTGAAATTGAGTTATAAATTTTAATCTAATATATAAAATAAATAAATATACGTTCTACGAACTAACATTTTATTTTTATTAAAAATAAAAATTTTAATAAATGTCTCGAACAACTTGAACCAAAATAACTCAAAAAACCTACGGTTAGGTCAGATTTGGCTCATTATTTAATAAGAGTTATTTGAATTGAAAAATTTTACTACTAGAACAATTGGATTGAGTTTAAAAAATGTCTAAACTCACCCAATCCAACCCAAAAACACCTTAAAAGTGGAGGATGAAATTATGTTCTTATTTTTTTTAAAGTTAAATAAGGAGGTGCAAAAAATAAGAAATAAAAGATTTTTTCTAATAAATTGTTATCAATTTTTTTTTTATGGAAAATATCATTTTTTATATGAAAAATAAGAAAATTATTTTATTCTTTTTTTGGGGTTTTTAAGCTTAAAAAAGACCATTTTTTCTCTTTAAAAAAAAAAAAAAACATCAATATTATAAAATTATCATTAAAAAAAAACCTTAAAAAGGACAAACCCTAATTTATATTGCCGACATGTCATCACAGGAACATCGGTGGATGAACTACTTTCCCGAACGCCACAAGTCCTGACCCATCTGAAACGGAAGTCCGACTACGTGAAAACCCTAATTCCAAAGGAAAATCTCAACCAAATATGGAAGAAAATGATAGAACTTGAGAAACCCACGATGACATTCAACCCATACGGCGGAAGAATGGCGGAGATCCCTTCAAACGCCACACCATTTCCCCACAGAGCTGGTAACCTATGGAAGATCCAATACGCAACAAATTGGGATGAACAAGGCACCCAACAAGCCAACCATTTCATAGACTTGACAAGGAAACTCTACAAGTTCATGACACCATTTGTGGCTAAGAACCCAAGAACTGCGTTCTTGAACTATAGAGATCTTGATATTGGTGTTAACCATAATGGGAAGAGGAGTTACTATGAAGGGAGGGTTTTTGGTATCAAATACTTTGAAGGCAACTTTGATAGGTTGGTTAAGATCAAGACTAAGGTTGATCCTCTTAACTTTTTTAGAAATGAACAAAGTATTCCTAGGTTTCCATATGTTGGAAGATAGAAGATGATTTGATTTTAATGCAATAAATGTGAGTCGGGTTTGAAACTCTGACCTCAGAAATATGTAATTTCATGTCGATACTTTAGTTTTGTGTATGATTATTCTATTCAAATTAGATGTGTCGTGTTGATCCTGATCTTAAATACTATAATAATAAGATTGTCACCTTAATTTTTTACCTTAAAAAGTCATTGTTGTTATAAAACAAGAGCAACAAGAACAAGAAACAATATTTAGAGAAAATAGATAGGAACAAATTTATTTGTTAATTTCGCTCGAGAGATAGAGACACGTGATAATTTGAAGAATCTTTTGATTATTCAATAATTATTCTCTATCACTATTGACACAAAATAACATGTCAAATAATAAATATATTTAGAACAATGAACTTCAACTTCATTGTTGTATAATGTTGGGTAACTTTTGGAATAGTGTCGAGGTAAATTAGCAAACTTTAGTTTAGAGTATCATCTAAATGATTGTTTGTACCATGGATTTCTCTAGTTACTGGGACGAACATCTATCTCTTATGAAGTTTGCCTACAATAATAATTATCAAGCGGTCATTTAGATTGCCCCACTCGAGGCACTGTGTGGGTGTAGGTGTCAGACATTAATATTTTGGAAAGAGGTAGACACACAATAATTACTCGGACCAAAGTTGGTTGAGGTCACCAACGTAACGGTACAGAAAATTAAGTAGAGGATACTTAACGAACAGAGCCGATAAAAGAGCTATGCAGATTCGCATAGAATAGACCTCAAGTTCGAAGTAGGTGATCATGTTTTCCTTAAATTAGCACCTATGAGACGAGTGTTGAGGTTTTGAAAGAAGGGCAAGTTGAGCCCAAGATTCATAGGCCCTTTTGAGATTTTAGAAAGAGTTGAGTACGTGGCTTACAAAATTGCACTACCACCGAGCCTCGCCATCATGCACAGTGTGTTTCACGTATCCATGCTACGAAAGTACACATCGGACCTTACCCATATGATAGAATATGAAACACTCCTTTTGGAGGAACTAGCCTATTGGCCCGTGACACTAGGCGATTGTACAATAAAATAATTTTCTTGGTAAATGTCTCATGGGGTAACCACCATGATGGGGATGCAACCTAGGAATGAGAATAAGATGTGAGGAGTGCCTATCCCAAACTCTTCCAAGAGACGCCAACTTTCAAGGACGAAAGTTTCTAAGGAGCAGAGAGTTGGTAGCACCCAAATAAAATGAAATAAAATAAAAGAGAGAAAGAAGTTTTGGTCAAAGTCAACAAAGGGGCAAATTGGTCATTTTTTTTCCTCCGCCCAGGGGGTCTTGGGTGGCCTTGACATAATACCTGCAAAAGAATGAAAAAGTCAGATAGAAAGTTGAGAGAAGTTGAAGAGATAAGGGAGAAAGAACCACGGAGAAACTCACTAGACCACGACTGGAAGTCGCCTCTGGCCACGATCTACTTGAAAAGACTTCTTCTTGGAAGGAAGAAAAGAAGAATTGGGTGACCAGAGTCCCATTTTCCATCAACAATCGAGAAGATTTGCGAGGTAATCTTTCACCGTTTTTCTTCAGATCTGAGATCTTCTTTGTGAATCCAGGTCTGAAATTTTAATATGTTCATCTAGAGATACGTGTCAAAGTCTATGTAGAGCAACACGTCAGACAAGGAGCGGATCAACGCGGCTCTAGTAGAATCGAGACGCAGCATTCTACAATCCGATTTGACCTTCGACCTACATTCTGGCCCGATCCAACCTGCTAAACTGGCTGACTAGTAGTCCAAACCGAGCTAACCATACCGTTAACCTGAATTGAAACGCCCAAACCACAATTGTAGATTCCTTTCGTGCGTGGCACTTTCCCTTGAATCTTGCGAGTGAAATCGTTCTTGGGGTGTGGCTGGCACGTGTAAGGTGTTTTTCAGTCTGTTCAACTTTCGTTTGCTCACTTTTATCCCTAAACCATATTCTTTATGCGATTTACGATCTAATTGAAGAAAATCACTCTTCTGGACACTCTATTTATGTGGAAACATGAAACAAAAGGGCACACGTCAAACATTTAAGTCACCATATGAAATTTGAGAAGAAATACTTGTAGGAATCGCTTGGATTGCATGCATGCTAATATAATTACCCTAGGTGGATAGTTTTTCCATGAAATGAATTTAGGTAATATTTAGGTAATATGGGTTATTAGAAAATATGTATGCATAATTTGATGAATTGCAAGAATCAAATGTTTGAGGCCATCATGCTTTATTTCCGCTGTAATTATGAATTATGAGTATTATATGCTGAAAGGAGGATAGGGAATATGTGATTAGCACTCTGGGTGCTTGATGGATGTTATCACCCCGTTGAGTATGTGTGACTATATACATGAATTATGTATGATGATTCTAGATAAATATTGTGTGCATGGAGCCTAACAGACCACCACGACTTACAAACTACCTTAAGAGTTGCCTTTAAGTTGTGTGTTGTGTGAACGATACCAACAGCTTTGTGGAGCCCAAGAGTTTCTGATCAAAATCCAATTGATGCTTGGCAATTTCCATATGGAAAACGTGAAACAACATCGTACAACCCATTAGCTGGATGGAATAAGTGAGGGGTATACCCCCCCCCACGAGGGTGACTTTATGGACCTGGGAGGTGACAGCTCACCCCTGACTAAGACACCATATAGTCTCATAAGAAATACGCATGAGGTAGCGCCTTGCAAAGGGTTAGCCGTCATTTACAATTCAACATAAGGAACTCTCAGGGTTTAAATTGAAAGGACGGAGACTTGAATAGTCCCAAGGGGATAAGACTAGAATCAGACATCCTAGAGCCAACGAAAAATTCGTTGGAATCTATTTCATCTAGAACGCGATGAGAGTTTACAAGTAGGTGGCTTACTGAGTATAACTTTTATACTGTCCTCTTTTTCCCTTTCTATTTTAGGCGTTCGCAGGCTACCACTCAAGGTGGAAGAGCTTTCAAAAGTTGTTCAGTCACTGAGGGGGTCGTTTGAAGCGTCAGTCCATTTTTACATTTTGAAATATTTTGTATTCTCCATTTCTAATGTTTGGAACTACATTCCCTCGTAACTTTAATTTTGGTGGTGTTGACTTTTTTTTTTCTCTTATTTTAAATTTATTGAATTTTTATATTTTAAAAGTATTTATTGTGAAGTTCTGCAATATACGATTAAGCATGCACGAGGTGATGTCACGGATTAGATTAAAAAAATTAGAGTCATTACAATAAATAGTGCGAATAAAACTAGTGCGAAACTAATGGAAGGACCTAATTTTAAGTTTCTAAATTCTAAGTTTTTAGTATGACAAAGTTGGGCATATCCTTTAGTTAATTAAAACTCTATTAGCACACATCATCAATCAAAACAAAAAATTTACATTTTAAAAATTTCAAAAGAAAATCCAATTAATTTTAGTGTTGTTTTTTTCTCTCCAAAAAGTCCCATCAATTTGTATATATTTTAAAATGATTTTTCAAACAAATGTCTATAAAAATAGGGTTAGACAATAAAAGGCAAACACATGAAACCAAAACATGAATATCCTCAAAACCCCCTTAATCAGCACACTATTTAAATAAATATTACATTAGATCATAGTTTATTGCAGGCCAAACAACATGCTTGTTTATGTTTGTATGCATATATGTATATATATATATATATGCTGGCCAATCAGCTATATATATATATATATAAATATATGTTGCAGGCCAAACACGAAGCTAGTAAATGTCTGAAGCTTTGGTCCCCTTATCCTTATTATTTTCGAAAAAAACATCAATCATAGAATCTTTTTCATGTTCAAAAAAACACTATAAAGTTTTGAAGTATCAAATTAGTTGACAAAAGACACGAACATGGTTCACTGGAGAAGAATTCAGCTGCTTCTTTTCTTCTGGATATGTTCTTCTTCTTGTTCTTCTTCTTCTGCTTTTGTTCAAGAAAACTTTATTGAATGCTTTAATTCCACAACTTATTCAAAGCATTCATTACCTGTTTCGGAAGTGGTTTTCTCAAATGAAAGTGCTTCTTTCTCCTCTTTGCTAAAGCATTCCATTAGAAACCTTAGATTTCTCTCCACTTCTTCCCCTAAACCTCTTTTCTTGGTGACCCCTTTTCATGAATCCCATGTTCAAGCTGCCATTGTTTGTGCTAAGGAGAACGACTTGCAAGTTCGAGTACTAAGTGGAGGGCATGACTACGAAGGTATAGAAGCTTAAGTTGATAGATTACGGTATATTTTAGTACGTGTTTAAAACTTGTAGGGTTTGGTTTTTTTTATAAATAGTGGTAAAAAGTGTTTTTTTTTTATCGATATTTACTTTGATACCATATTAAATTAGGAGTGAACCTGAAAGTTTAATGTAACCGCCTCCCTCAGTTCACTCCTGTTCTTTTTGGGCTTGCTTGAAATTCAAGCTTTTCTCAAGGATTTCTGGACTCTCCCTCAGTTCACTCCTGTTCTTTTTGGGCTTGCTTGAAATTCAAGCTTTTCTTTTTGGGCTTTCCCTTTTCAAGCTTCTTCTCAAGGATTTCCCCAGCTTACTCGGGCAAGATATTGTTCTTTTTGGGCTTTCCCTTTTCAAGCTTCTTCTCAAGGATTTCCCCAGCTTACTCGGGCAAGATATTGTTCTTTTTGGGCTTTCCCTTTTCAAGCTTCTTCTCAAGGATCCCTTGTAAAGAATGTTTCGTTCTTTTCTCCAACTGATGTGGGATCTCACAATCCACCCCCCTTGGAGGCCACCGTCCTTGGAGGCCAGCGTCCTTGTTGGCACACTACTTGGTGTCCAGCTCTAATACCATTTGTAAGAGCCCAAGCCCACTGCTAACCGATATTGTTCTCTTTGGACTTTTTCTTTCAAGCTTCCCCGCTTCCCCTCAAGGTTTTTAATATGTATCTGATAGGGTGAGGTTTCCATACCCTTATAAGGAATGTTTCGTTCTCCTTTCCAACCAATATGGGATCTCATAATCCACCCCCCTTGGGGGCCCAGCATCCTCACTGGCACATTTCTTGGTGTATATAGCTCTAATACCATTTGTAACAGCCCAAGCCCACTACTAGCAGATATTGTCCTATTTAGGCTTTCCCTTTCGAGGTTCCCCTCACTGGTTTTAAAACATGTCTGCTAGGGAGAGCTTTCCATACCCTTACAAGGAATATTTCGTTCTCCTCTCCAACCGACGTAGAATCTCACACGTAATATTTATAATTTCTTAAACAGGTCTCTCATACCTATCATCATCACAAGCTCCATTCATTGTAATCGATCTCATCAACCTTCGCTCAATCGATATCAACATCGAAACCGAGACTGCATCAGTGGAGACCGGCGCCACACTCGGCGAATTATACTATAGAATCGCAAAGAAAAGTCCCATCCATGGCTTTCCAGCAGGGAGCTGCCCCACCGTGGGGGTGGGAGGGCATATAAGTGGAGGAGGCTTTGGAACCCTTTTCAGAAAATATGGTCTTGCAGCTGATAACGTAATTGATGCCAAAATTGTGGACTTCAATGGAAGAATTATGGATAGAAACACCATGGAAGAAGATCTCTTTTGGGCCATTAGAGGAGGTGGAGGAGCAAGCTTTGGAGTCATTTTATCATGGAAACTCAAACTAGTTTCTCTTCCTTCAATTGTTACAACTTTCAATGTTCAAAGAACCCTAAACCAAGGAGGTACTCACCTTTTCCTTAAGTGGCAAGAAATTGCTCACAAACTTAATCAAGATCTCTTCCTTCATGTGACCACAAAAGTTATAGACCAAAAAATGACCAAAACAACATCAAAAACACTCAGCCTTTCATTCACATCCTTATTTCTTGGTTCAATTGATACCCTCATCCCATTAATGGATACCCATTTTCCAGAGCTTGGATTAAAGAGATATCAATGCACTGAAATGAATTGGATTCAATCAGTTCTTTTCTTTGCTGATTTCTCCACAAAATCCCCACTTGAAATTTTGATGCAAAGATTACCTTCAATAAGATCTTCTTTCATAGCAAAATCTGATTATGTTACTTCACCAATTTCACAAAGTGGGTTAGAAGGGCTTTGGGCTAAGCTTCTAGAGAATGATAATTCTGAGTTGATTTTCACACCTTATGGGGGAAAAATGAGCCAAATTTCTGAATTAGAAACCCCTTTTCCACATAGAAAAGGGAGCATTTTTGGAGTCCAATATTTGGCAACATGGGATGATAGTAATGAAAATGAGAGGCACTTAAGATGGATAAGGGAGGTTTATTCTTATATGGAGCCCTATGTTTCAATGGCTCCAAGAGGAACTTATTTGAATTATAGAGATCTTGATTTGGGAAGAAACTATGGTAGAAATACGAGCTATGAGGAGGCAAAAGTGTGGGGATTGAAGTATTTCAAAGGTAATTTTGAGAGATTGGTGAAGGTGAAGACCAAATTTGATCCTTTAAACTTCTTTTGGAATGAACAAAGCATTCCTCTTTTGTATAATTGTGAAGATGAGGCAAGAATTTGTGAGGTTTACTCAGATTTAGACTCTGCAAATGTTCAAGAAAGATGAAGATTTGATTGTGTGTGTAACAGTAATAATTAAAAGTTAGCTGAGTGTGAGATTTGTAGCTTCTTGGTTTGTTACTTGTATAGTATAAGTGTTACAAATGAGAAACCGAAGTGGAATTCAAATATAATCTTCATTGATAACGTTTAAATATGATACAAGCTAACAACTAGGTCGAAAAAAATATAGTACCAACCAACTACTAAAAGATAAAAGAGAAAATATACTATCAACCTGCTCCTAAAAGTAAGGGAAAAAGTACTAACGGATTACACGTATATAAAATATATTTCATGACAAACTATATTCCACAAATATCTTTGTATCTTAAATCAAATTTCAAAATTTTATAATCTCTTTAACATCTTTCCGAAAATAAAATTGTTGTCTTCCTAAAGATTTAGTGAAAACATTTGTCAATTGCATTTTAGTCGAACATAACATGGTTTGATGATTTTAGCTTGTAACTTTTTCCAAACTATATGGCAATCTATTTCAATGTGCTTCCTACGTTCGTGAAAAACTCGATTGGCTGCTATATGCAATACTACTTGATTATCACAATACAACCATGCTAGTTTAGACAATGAAATTTTTAAGTCTTGAAGAATGTATATAAGCCATGTTAACGCTAAACAAGTATTTTTCATAGCTCTATAGTCGACTTCTACTAATGATCTAGACAATTGGTTTGTTGTTTAGACTCCAAGAAATAATTGAATTTCATAGGAAGATGCAGAACTCATAAATAGACCGTTTGGTAGTTCAACAACCACCCCAGTCAGAATCACAATATATTTATAATCTCAAGTTGTTTTCAATGGTAGTAGAAGTCCTTGAATAGGAGTACCTTTGATATATCTTAGAACTCGAAGAGTTGCCTCCCAATGTGGTTTTCTTGGTTCATGCATAAATTGACTAAGCATATGAACTGAATGCATTATGTCAAGCCTGGTAACAGTTAAATATATTAATCTGCCAATCAACCATCTATATTTGCTTTGATAATTCAACTTCTCTCTTTCTGTTGAAGAAATCTTCAGATTTTGCTCCATAGGAAATTTTTCTGGATGTCCTTCTTAAGACTCGGTGTCTTGAAGAATGTCTAAAACATACTTCCCTTGAGACATAAAAATTTCTTTTCTAGATCGAGAAAATTCAATGTCGATGAAATATTTCAAATTCTCTAAATCTTTGATGAGGAATTTCTCGAGTAAACAAGTCTTGAGATCTTGAATTTCTTTGAGATCATTGTCTGTCAACAAAATATCATCAACATAGATAAGAACTCCCGTGAAAAAAGTACCTTTATTCTTAGTAAACAATGAGTAATGAACTATTGGGTGAGTGTAGCCTACATTTTGTATAGCGGTAGAGAATATGGAGAACCAATTGTGACAAGTTTGTTAATTGTATTTTCAGGTATGTCGATATAGATTGGATTAGTTTTTCTGGTGGGTATCCTTAATTCTCTTATCTCTTGAACCTCTTCGTTCTTGATACAAAAATGAAATGACCTTCCCCTAATTCTTTCGAATTTTGAGACACATTAAATTAAAATGCAAAATTAAAATAAAGAGAAAAAAAAAATTAGAGGGAGGGTTCTCTTGCTTGTATTGTCAAAATGGAATATATCTCACATAATTCACATAAAAATAATATATCTTAAAGTATATAAGAATATATAGATATTGATAATCGAGAAAATAACTCATAAAGAGACTTATGTAGCCAACATATTGTATTCTCCCATGTCGACAAAGACCTGGTGGTAAAGACATATAGACTTCTTCGTCTAGATTACAATGGAGAAAGACATTTTGAACATCCAACTGATGAGTGAACCATTTTCAAGCAGGAGTAATAGTGAGTAAGCAACAAAGTGTAGTAATTTTGGTTGTAGGAGAAAGTGTCTCTTTGTAATCAGTACCTTCAACTTGAGTGTATTCCTTTACTACCAGCCGAGCTTTGTAACGTTCAACAGAATCATCATAGTTGTATTTGATCTTATACACCCAAAGACAACCAATAGCTTTATGGTCAGGTGGTAAAGGAACGAGAGACCAAGTATGATTACATTCCGAAAATTCAATTTCAGCATTCATAGTCCTGCTGCCATAATTGGTCGCCAACTGTCACATCATAGGTTTTTTTGACTGGGCTGTAATAAGAGTTAGAAAAGCATGTTGAGTAAGAGAAAAACGGAGAGAATAAAAGATAATGATGAATGGGATATTTGGTGATAGTACTAGGAATTGAGCTAGAGGTTAAATGATTGGCTGCAGAAGACATCTCATCCCGTTTTTAAAATGATTTTAAGGTGAGACTATTGTAGGGGAATGACGATCAGGGTGGAGAAGTGTAGTCATGGAGCAACCTGAAAATTCCCCATTTAGTAGTTCACTTACTTAAAATGTGTTAGAGGACACCTAGTTTATGGGGACTAGGGAGTCACGCTAAGTAAAATTTTTTGTAATGATTCTAGATTTCTACTTACCTACAGTCGCTACCGCCCTCATAATGTAACTATATTGTGCGAGAATAAGCGTTTAAATTATCTTAAAATACTGTCATGGACTTGTTCGAAAACAACTTTTAAACTATACAATGAAATATTGAATGAAATAAATAACGGTTAAAATTAAAAACACCATATTCTAACTAAGTCTAAAAAATAAGACAACTACCCTACGCATGTGTTATGGTCTCGAAATGCGATATCGTCGTCAACTAGGGATGTCTTGCTTTTACCTGAAATAGAAGTAGCATGTGTCTTGGGTATGTTAAGAAATACTCAATAAGTGACTCCATTATTGGGGTTAGATGCAAACACACACAATCATGAGTGTGACCTATCTTATCATTTTGTATTCCTTAGGCAACTAACCTAAACGGGCTAGTTGGATGTGTATTTACTGTTCTACACACTGTCTACATGTGCGAGTATGGACCCACCAGTCAATTCGCCAACCTCGTGGACCCCTTTCTTGTTCAGCAAGCATTCTCTAGTTAGTTGTTGATGTCGGACACCCGTTTAGGAATAGCGACCATCACAACATTAGGATAAATATAATGATCGTTTTCCTTCTTGACTGTCGTAGCATTATGATAACCATAATGATTGATTTTCTGCCTCGTAACGTAATCGTCCATACCATCATAAAAAGGGGGTATTCCCGGATGCATGTACACACAATGATGAATGAGTTTCCAACATTTTTTCTTTTTCATTATCATGTATGACAACCCCTCTAGCGTTTTCTTCATATTATATCATTATCATAACTTTTTATGTAATTTCGGGGATGTGTATCATATCAATACACCTTATTGCATGTCATTCACATAACATATCATACTATAACATATATCACATATTATTCACTTATCATATCATATCTCAAACATATCGTCAAACACATCATACCATAACATATATCATATCATAACATATATCTCATTTACATATCATATCTCAAACATATTGTCAAATGCATCACATCATTTCATAAACATTTCACACATACCAAACATATGACACGTGCAGAATCATGGGGGACGTGTCGTCATACAACATTGATTTCTAACCATGCAGATAGTAAAGCCACTTACCCTGATTAGTTCAGACATGTCACCATTTTATCCTTAATGAAAGTTTGATATTGTGTTATAAGCCCTTATTAACGGTTGGGAGTAGAACCCAAATCTTTGCTAATTCTTCCTTAATGAGATTAAATTTAGAAACCACACCTTGATATGGCAAATGTGACTGCCAAATTAACCTCCACATGTCAGTTTCCTCCCATATTCCAGACTCTGAAACCACTGTGCCTATCCGCTCTCACCGGTCTTCTCCGCTTCCTTTATAAACCCTCTTTTTCTTTCTTATTCTCCCGCCTTCTCTTAAGTACTCTCTTCTCTTTCCATTCTCGTTCTCTCTCTTCTCGTCAACCTCCGGTTAGTTTCGGTCTCGCTCTCTCTCTCTCTATCCGTGNCTTTCTTATTCTCCCGCCTTCTCTTAAGTACTCTCTTCTCTTTCCATTCTCGTTCTCTCTCTTCTCGTCAACCTCCGGTTAGTTTCGGTCTCGCTCTCTCTCTCTCTCTATCCGTGGAGTTATATTTATAGTTGTTTTTCTTGTTTCATGCTTGAAAATGCAGAGTTCTGTGAAATGTAATAGAGTTTTTTTTTTTTTTTTTAATTTCATTTTGATTAGGTTTGACTTTGACTTCGATTTCTGTAGTTTGGTTGATTTTGATTCTGTACAAGTGTGAAATGAGAATGGGTCAACGGAACGGTGATGCCGATGGTGGAGAAGGGATCAAAAGAAGATCCTGTGGTTGTTCGAAGGAGGATTTTCTGCCAGAAGAGTCGTTTAAGAGTTGGAGAAATTACACTAAAGCGCTTCAACTACATTGTTATTTGCACCTTGGCTGTAGCCAGCACCAAAGGCTCTTCCCGCTTCAACTACATTGCTTCCATTTTCCATGTTGTCATCATCCTCTTCATTATCGTTGCTGGCCTCGCCAAGGCCAACCCGAAAAACTTCACTCGCTTCGCCCCCTATGGCCCTCATGGTATCTTCGTAGCCTCAGCCGTTTTGTTCTTTGCATACGTTGGATTCGACGCCGTTTCGACAATGACTGAGGAAACTAAGAACCCTGCTAAAGATATACCTATTGGTCTTGTTGGGTCCATGGTGATCACTACATTAGCCTATTGCATTCTTGCAGTTACGTTGGGTTTGATGCAGCCGTACCAACAAATTGATGAGGATGCGCCGTTTTCAGTGGCTTTTGAGGCTGTTGGATGGGGTTGGGCTAAGTACATTGTCGCTGCTGGTGCTATTAAAGGCATGACCACCGTGTTGTTGGTTAGTGCTGTTGGACAGGCGCGCTATCTCACGCACATTGACAGAACCCACATGATCTCACCATGGTTTGCCAAAGTGCATGAAAGGACTGGCACTCCAGTGAATGCAACAGCCACAATGCTCGCTGCAACA